TTTCCTCACAATTCTGACTTTTTTCCTCGCAATTCTGACTTTTTTTCTCGCAATTCTGACTTTATAACTCGCAATTCTGACTTTTTTCTCGCAATTCGGGTTTTTTTCCTCACAATTCTGACTTTTTTCCTCGCAATTCTGACTTTTTTTCTCGCAATTCTGACTTTATAACTCGCAATTCTGACTTTTTTCTCGCAATTCGGGTTTTTTTCCTCACAATTCTGACTTTTTTCCTCGCAATTCTGACTTTTTTTCTCGCAATTCTGACTTTATAACTCGCAATTCTGACTTTTTTCTCGCAATTCGGGTTTTTTTCCTCACAATTCTGACTTTTTTCCTCGCAATTCTGACTTTTTTTCTCGCAATTCTGACTTTATAACTCGCAATTCTGACTTTTTTCTCGCAATTCGGGTTTTTTTCCTCACAATTCTGACTTTTTTCCTCGCAATTCTGACTTTTTTTCTCGCAATTCTGACTTTATAACTCGCAATTCTGACTTTTTTCTCGCAATTCGGGTTTTTTTCCTCACAATTCTGACTTTTTTCCTCGCAATTCTGACTTTTTTTCTCGCAATTCTGACTTTATAACTCGCAATTCTGACTTTTTTCTCGCAATTCGGGTTTTTTTCCTCACAATTCTGACTTTTTTCCTCGCAATTCTGACTTTTTTTCTCGCAATTCTGACTTTATAACTCGCAATTCTGACTTTTTTCTCGCAATTCGGGTTTTTTTCCTCACAATTCTGACTTTTTTCCTCGCAATTCTGACTTTTTTTCTCGCAATTCTGACTTTATAACTCGCAATTCTGACTTTTTTCTCGCAATTCGGGTTTTTTTCCTCACAATTCTGACTTTTTTCCTCGCAATTCTGACTTTTTTTCTCGCAATTCTGACTTTATAACTCGCAATTCTGACTTTTTTCTCGCAATTCGGGTTTTTTTCCTCACAATTCTGACTTTTTTCCTCGCAATTCTGACTTTTTTTCTCGCAATTCTGACTTTATAACTCGCAATTCTGACTTTTTTCTCGCAATTCGGGTTTTTTTCCTCACAATTCTGACTTTTTTCCTCGCAATTCTGACTTTTTTTCTCGCAATTCTGACTTTATAACTCGCAATTCTGACTTTTTTCTCGCAATTCGGGTTTTTTTCCTCACAATTCTGACTTTTTTCCTCGCAATTCTGACTTTTTTTCTCGCAATTCTGACTTTATAACTCGCAATTCTGACTTTTTTCTCGCAATTCGGGTTTTTTTCCTCACAATTCTGACTTTTTTCCTCGCAATTCTGACTTTTTTTCTCGCAATTCTGACTTTATAACTCGCAATTCTGACTTTTTTCTCGCAATTCGGGTTTTTTTCCTCACAATTCTGACTTTTTTCCTCGCAATTCTGACTTTTTTTCTCGCAATTCTGACTTTATAACTCGCAATTCTGACTTTTTTCTCGCAATTCGGGTTTTTTTCCTCACAATTCTGACTTTTTTCCTCGCAATTCTGACTTTTTTTCTCGCAATTCTGACTTTATAACTCGCAATTCTGACTTTTTTCTCGCAATTCGGGTTTTTTTCCTCACAATTCTGACTTTTTTCCTCGCAATTCTGACTTTTTTTCTCGCAATTCTGACTTTATAACTCGCAATTCTGACTTTTTTCTCGCAATTCGGGTTTTTTTCCTCACAATTCTGACTTTTTTCCTCGCAATTCTGACTTTTTTTCTCGCAATTCTGACTTTATAACTCGCAATTCTGACTTTTTTCTCGCAATTCGGGTTTTTTTCCTCACAATTCTGACTTTTTTCCTCGCAATTCTGACTTTTTTTCTCGCAATTCTGACTTTATAACTCGCAATTCTGACTTTTTTCTCGCAATTCGGGTTTTTTTCCTCACAATTCTGACTTTTTTCCTCGCAATTCTGACTTTTTTTCTCGCAATTCTGACTTTATAACTCGCAATTCTGACTTTTTTCTCGCAATTCGGGTTTTTTTCCTCACAATTCTGACTTTTTTCCTCGCAATTCTGACTTTTTTTCTCGCAATTCTGACTTTATAACTCGCAATTCTGACTTTTTTCTCGCAATTCGGGTTTTTTTCCTCACAATTCTGACTTTTTTCCTCGCAATTCTGACTTTTTTTCTCGCAATTCTGACTTTATAACTCGCAATTCTGACTTTTTTCTCGCAATTCGGGTTTTTTTCCTCACAATTCTGACTTTTTTCCTCGCAATTCTGACTTTTTTTCTCGCAATTCTGACTTTATAACTCGCAATTCTGACTTTTTTCTCGCAATTCGGGTTTTTTTCCTCACAATTCTGACTTTTTTCCTCGCAATTCTGACTTTTTTTCTCGCAATTCTGACTTTATAACTCGCAATTCTGACTTTTTTCTCGCAATTCGGGTTTTTTTCCTCACAATTCTGACTTTTTTCCTCGCAATTCTGACTTTTTTTCTCGCAATTCTGACTTTATAACTCGCAATTCTGACTTTTTTCTCGCAATTCGGGTTTTTTTCCTCACAATTCTGACTTTTTTCCTCGCAATTCTGACTTTTTTTCTCGCAATTCTGACTTTATAACTCGCAATTCTGACTTTTTTCTCGCAATTCGGTCTTTATAACTCGCAATTCTGACTTTTTTCTCGCAATTATGACTTTTTTCTTGCAATTCGGATTTTTTTCTCACAATTCGGACTTTTTTCTCACAATTCTGACTTTATAACTCGCAACTGTGTGATATAAAGTCAGAATTGCAAGAAAAAAAAGTGACAATTGTAAGATAAAAACTTGCAATTCTGACTTTTTTCTCAGAATTGTGACTTTATATCACGTAATTCTGACTTTAAAACTCGCAATTGTGAGTTTATTTCTCGGAATTGCAAGTCTATATCTCACAATTCTGAGAAAAAAAGTCCGATTTGTGAGATAAAGTCACAATTACCTTTTTTTATTTTTTTTTATTCAGTGGCGGGAACGGTCTTCCATAAATATTCCATTATACCAAGTTGCAAAAATCCCGGGAACGTTACTCTTGAATGTTCTCTGAAACAAGTAACATTTCAGACATTTATTTTCAGAAATAAAACATTTCATGAGAAATTGAATAAATAATGTTTTTATGGTAACATTTCGAGCACAAAGAGCAGGTCGTTCTGAATGAAGGTTCTATTATTGTTATGGAAGAATGAGCTCTCAACACTAGATTTACTCACACTCGCGTCAATCTAAACCTGGATGCTTTATTTCTTTAAGGAGATGTGGATCACTGTCAATAAAGCATCATAACAGCAGTTCAATGTGATTCATATGATGCTTCATATTCCACATCCACATGAGAGTCAAATCCTCATCTCTTTTATCAGTCTCATGCTTTTCAATCATCTGATGAAAGTCTTTGACTGAAGACTTATTTGTGTTATTTAATACAATTCTGGGTTAAACTTTACAATAAGGTTCCATTTTTAAACATTAGATAAATAAAACAACTTATTAATCTTATGTAATGTGATTGTCAGCATTAACAAATACATTATTAAAATCAAATGTATCCGTTATATTATTTAATTGCCCTGAGCAAATATGAGCAAACTAACATGTGGCAAAACTTGGTATTTGACAGTATTTTTGTCTGGTTTTCCAGTACAAATATCTAAGCATCCTTAAATCAAGATATATTAAAATAATAATAAATAAATTAAATTAAATGAAAATTATTTTGCCAATGGGGTCAGAAAAATAAACTTAATTCAAAAGGAAAACAAGATGATTTTTCCAGACCCCACAGGAAAATATTTGTTCTTGTATTAAGAATAAATCCGCTTGATTTTAATACATTTTTCAGAAATTACGACTTAATATCTTAAGTCATCTTGCATCTGAAGTATATATGCAGTGCATTGAACAGTTGTGTTTTAAAGTAATGTTTAACTGTAACAAATTTCGTAACGTTGTGCATTAACTAATGTTAACTAACGGGACCTTAATGTAATTTTTGATATAAATGATATAAATATAACACTTTACGTAAAGCCTTTATATATATTTAATGCTTTATAAAAGTGTTTTTAATGCATTAATTATGCCTTATTTAATGATCTCATGAATAATTAAAACCACAGTTATGATGCATTATAACACTTATCTATTCATTGTTACAGCTTTAGAAAGTACAATGCATTAAAACTCACAACAAGCAAACCTTCAAATATTACAATGCATTTTTGGTTACAATTATTTATGAAAAATATAATGCATTACAACATAACTTTATAATGCATGATACATAAAGACTTAGGTAAAGTGTTACTGATTTCACTTTATAAACCTGTGTGAGATTTTCAACATGGACATTTAGCAAGATTTAACAAGGACAGTTAAACAAATTCATGATCTAAAAGAACTCTGAGTGATATATACATATAATATAGTGAGTTATGAGCAAGCAGACGTTTGTTGATCCATACAGTATATTTGATCATGTACAATATGAACTCAAGAACCAGTACAAGATGATTGTCCTGAATAAATATCACAGCACACCTCCAATATTTACAGTATAAACAAACAATATTAAAAACACGATAGAAGCAAAGGAACGGATGCGTGACGAGCGAGCGATGACGAGCTTTGGATCGATGATGATGATGATGATGATGATGATGATCACGGCTGTGACCTCATTCCTCCGAATCTTATGAGATTTCATATGTTACACAATTTACAGCAAAACACACTCGCGTCGCATTCAACAACCAATCGGGTTTATACAGCAGAAGCATTTCAGCCAATCACAGCACACTCGCCTCATTAATATGTAAATGAGGCTCATTATAGTATTCATGAGGATCCGCTGCGTCGTGCAAATCTGTGTTCGGCAGGAATCTTGTGAATTCCTTCAGTTGAAGGAAGGAGTCTGTTAGCATCAGGGAAAAGGAACGACAATCTGCTCTTTACAGGCTTGATGCATCCAGACACAAGAAGTTTCATTGTGAAGAAATACAAGCCGACTGTGCACACACACACACACACACAGAGCGTCGGTCCATCAGCCTGAGTTCAGATACTCTAAAGCCACTTCATAGCAGAACTTGTACTGATCCTGCAGAAAGACACAGAAGACACGCGTTAAATTATACCACATACAATAAAATTAGGAAGCACTAGAAAAAAACTGTAGATTTTTTCCCCTGAACATCCTGAATCAGTGTTATTTTAGTACATTTAGTCATTTAGCAGATGCTTTTATCCAAAGCGACTTACAAATGACAATAGAAGCAATCAAAACTAACAAAAGAGCAATGATATTTTTAATAATTTTTTTCTTTCTTTGTTTCTTTCATTTTAAAAATATGTCTGTATGGTTTTTATACATTTTTATTCCATATTAATTTTGTTGTGCGTTTTTGTCATTATTATTATTATTATTATTATTTTTTTAGTTTTTCAAAAATAATTCTATATGTTTTTTTTTTTTTCTGTATTATTTATAATTATAATTTGTTATAGTTTTAGTTTGAGTTATTTTTGTACATCAACTTTTTAAATGTTATTTTTCCTTCTATTTTATTATGCACTCTTAAAACTAAAGCTGCTTAGAAGGTGCTTCACAGCGATGCCACAGAAGAACCATTTCTGGTTCCACAAAGAACCATTCAGTCAAAGAACATCTCTTTCTTAGCTTTTTATAATCTGAAGAACCTTCTTTCGCCACAAAGAAGCTTTTGTGAAACAGAAAGGTTAAAGGTTCTTTATGGAAGCATTTAGACAAAAAGGTTCTTCTATGGCATCACCGTGAAGCACCTGTATTTGTAAGAGTTTGTCTGTATAGTTTTTATACATTTTTATTTTAGTTTTAGTTTTGTACATCAAGTTATTTAGTTAAAATTTGATTAATGTTGTTGTGTGTTTTGGTCATTTTTTTTTCTTTCTTTTTTAAAATGTCTATACATTTTTTTTAAATAATTTTTAGTTTTGCAAAGATAAGTTTATTTATATATATGTGACCCTGGAGCACAAAACCAGTCATAAGGGTCAATTTTTCGAAATTGAGATGTATGCATCCTCTGAAAGCTGAATAAATAATATTTCCTTGATGTATGGTTTGTTAGGATATTACAATATTTGGCTGAGATACAACTATTTGAAAATCTGGAATCTGAGGGTGCAAAAAAATCTAAATATTGAGAAAATCATCTTTAAAGTTGTCCAAATGAAGTTTTTAGCAATGCATATTACTAATCAAAACTGAAGTTTTGATATATTTACGGTAGGACATTTACAAAATATATTTACTTAATAATGATTTTTGGCATAAAAGAGAAATGTATAATTTTGACCCATACAATGTATTGTTGGTTATTGCTACAAATATACCCCAGCGACTTAACACTGCTTTTGTGCTGCAGGGATACATATTATATTATTTTATTTAAAGTTTGTTGTTGTTGTTTAAATCAAGTACCAAAGTCTTTCAGAAAGGTTCTCTTGTTATGGTTTAGTTGTAGTTAGCAGTAATAGCTGAGTGGTCAGTGAGCTGTGAGTCAGTACCAGCAGATCCACCATGTTGGGCTTGTTGTTGCGCAGGGTTTTGACGGCGTGAAACACATCGACCGAGCGCTGATGCCGCAGCATTTCACTCACGATGCTGATGGCACAAAACGTCCCGCTGCGACCGCCGCCGTTCCTGACGGGACCAAAGACAACACGCTTCAGATGAAGACCTCGGCTCTGACCGATGCTCAGTCATAATAAACGCTGTTATCGTCACATAAACAGACTCACGGTCCTGCTGAGATTCAGTGATCGAGCAGAAACACAATACTTGACGTCTTTAATGCATTATAAAGCATTTCATAATGTATGTTATAATGCAATATATCTTTTTGTAATTAAAATGCATTACACTATTTGCAGGTTCTGTTACATATGAAGTTGTTTTCATGTGTTTTACTGAATTATACTTTTTAAAGGCAAAACAAGGAATAGACAAGAAGTATAATGTATTATAACTATGGTGATAATTAATTGTGAGATCATAGAATGCATTATAAAGCCATAATTAATGCATTAAAATACTTTTATAATACATTACATATGAAGACTTCAAGTAAAGTGTTACCTTTTTTGTTTAATAAACCCATAAAAATAAACACAATCATAAAACAAATAAATAAATAAACAATTAATAATATTATTTAAAAAAATCACTGTATATTTGTTTGTCGATAAATAAGCATGCTCATCTAACAAATTTTTATAACTCATTTTCTTTTTTCTTTTTTTTAACTGATAATAGTAATGGAAACATTTTATACAGAGGTGAACATTGCTTTTACTCTGCAGATGTGTTTATTTGATGTGAAGTCTGATGCCGCTGTGGCGCAGTGAGTGTGTTAGGCCACTAGATGGAAGTGTTTCCCTTCACATCACATCAAACTCACAGCAGTCAATCAAAGGCAGGGGGGCCCAACCCTGCTCCTGGCGATCGACTGTCCTGCAAAGTTCAGCTCCAACCCTAATCAAACACACCTGAAGCAAATAATTAGGGTCTTCAGGATCACTTAAAAATTATGCTTCCTGCTGTGATCAGAGAGGATTATGGGATTGTGTGAGGAGGAGTCTGACGCGCATATGTGTTGCACTGATATTACTAATCATTCTGAAAATTTACCATGGTAACCATAGTGTTCATTGTAGAAAAGCTGAGTTTAAGTGTGTGTGTGTGAGAGTGTGTGTGTGCGTGCGTGTGTGAGTGCGTGC